AAACACCGGTGGCATAGCCCTCAGAATCACAGCAACTCAAACCACCACAGCACGACAGACAGACGAGTGGTGGCCGTTTGGTTTTATGTCTATACTGTCAGAGAGATAGTCTGGATCAATATGAAAAATAAAATGAAATAAAATCAAATCAAATCACTATCTTCATTAAAAAGGTCTTCCTCTGAAAAGTATATACCAAGAATTAAATAGGTTACATACAAATACTATGGAATTCTGCTACATTTAAAAATTCTTCTAACCCCTTTGGAATAATTTCTAATCAGTTGGAGGTCATATCTTAAGTGGCCATTTTGATGCCATACTTCCATGATTGACAGTCCATGATTATGCTACCAGGCACACCTTATACAGTATATACACTCTCATATCCATGTTTCACACTTTAACGATAAACTATAAATTAAAGTTAAACTTTCTATTTTTATTCCCTCCTATAGAAGCTTTTTTCATTCATTTCTACAAAGATAGGAGGGGTCCTAGGATGACAATGTAGGATAAGCATAGGATTCCTATTAGCAAGGTTGTTGGTTTAAACCACCAGTATCTTCTCAGAAACCCTATGCAGGATCATTTAATGTGCCAAAAATATATAGCAGTGACTTGTTTATACATAATACCAGATTCTTACTCAGTTTCTATTTCAAATCATTCAAAATTCTCAAAAAGTAAAGATTTTGATAAATGATATATTTTAATGAACTTATTAAAGTGACTTTATTAAATTGACTGGACCATAAGGTCAGCAGTTCAAACTCACCAATTAGTCCTTAAAACAGTGTCACTATGAACTGGAACTGACCTGACAACACTTAACAACAACAAAGTATAGCTATGTAATTATAATCTAAGTTATAAATTACTGCTGAAAAGTGAATTTTAACTAATGACTTGGAGTTCTGGTGTGGTGCTATGGGTTAATATGTTGGACTGCACTGTAGGTTTGAATCTAGAGGTTGGCGGTTCAAGCTCACCACTCTAATAACTTAGGTTGTGCTTAAGCAGTTTTCTATATATATTTTGATTGAAATATTTTTTTCAAGATTTTCCTGATGGCACATTTTATTTGCTTGTTTCTAAGACTATAGACAATTGGGTTGAAAAGAGGGGGAATTATGGAATAAATCACAGAAAAGACAATGTCATGGATGGTTGGAGAGGTATCAGGTGGCCTAAGGTACACGTAGAAACTTGAGCTGAGGAAGACTGACATCACAAAAATATGAGGAATGCAGGTGGAAAAGGCCTTTGCTCTGTCTGCGCCACTTGGAAACTTGATCACAGTAGAAAATATGTGAATGTAGGACCTGATGATGAAGATGAAACAACCTCCACAAAACACCAGAGCAGAGGCCAGGAGAGTTATCTCATTGCTGAAGGTATCAGAGCAGGAGAGTTTCAGTAGAGAGGGGACATCACAGAAAAACTGATGAATGACATTGGAATGACAAAAGGGCAGCCTAAAGGTGTTGCCCGTGTGCAATGCTCCATAGATTAGACCACTGAGGATGGAAGCCAGTGTCATCTGCACGCAGACCCGATGATTAATGATCACAAGGTAGTGAAGAGGCTGGCAGATGGCCACATAGCGGTCATGGGCCATGAATGTGAGGAATAGAAGCTCCACATATACAAAAAAAAAAATAACTAGGAAGATTTGAGCTACACATCCTGCCTTTGGAATGGTATTGTTGTCAAGTATAGAATTAAGACAAGAATTAGGGACAGTTACAGAAATGTAGCATGCATCCAAGAAGGAGAGATTTCTAAGAAAAAAGTACATGGGTGTATGAAGACTCTTGTCCATGGTGGTGGCAATAACCATAACAAAATTCCCAATGAGAGTCAACAAATACAACAGAGTGAAGGATATGGCATGCATAATCTGTAGTTCCCATACATCAGAAAACCCAATTAGTAGAAATCCTGTCATTATGGTGGAACTGGCCATCTCTCAGTTACGTAACTCTTATCTGGGATGCAAAGAGAGAAATTTCGAACACATGGTGAATTAAATTGTGAGAATATAACTTTCAATTATTTTTTTATCACCACTTCATAACTCTAGTTGCTATTGATGTTCTAAGTGGTTTTGTTTTTTCATAGACCCCATAATATGTTTTTTTCCTTTTGTAGGAATGAAATTAAAATCATGGCCATATTTTATAAGCAATGTGCCTACCCTGGTGTGGTGCTATAGGATAAGTATTCTACTGCTAACTATCAGTTAAAACTGATTCAATGGCACTTAACAACAACAGTTTTATATTTATTACTATATATAACATGTGAATATTTAATTTTATCATGGCGAAATAGCTATAAATAAAGATGGAGTCACTGGGTGATTCAAAGAGTTAATGTTTGTTTTTAACCAAAAATTTTCATGTTTGAGTCCTCTGAAAGGTGTCTCAGAAGAAAAGCCTCTTGATGTATTAAAAAAAAAAAAAAATCAGCCACTGTAAATCCTAAAGAGCAGGGTCCTATGAGTCAGAGTGAACACCATGGAAACTATTTTATTTACTTTATTTAACTTATATATTTTGTTTGTTTAATTTTTATGTTATTTCTTTTTTAACATAATGTACATTTATATTATTGGCTTTTTAAAGGAACTTTGGAGATAATGCAATGTTATCGAATAATTGAAATAAAGTCCTTTAGATGTTTTCTCTGACTTACATTCTCATTTCGAAGCTATAGACAATACTTTGGAAAATAAATTCTTCTCTGAAAGGAGTACTATATGCATTATAATGTAACAATTATCTTCTAATGTACAATATTGAAATCATTTATTTACTGGACTCCTGGTGTAGTGCTGTAGGATCAGCTCTAGACTGCAAACCACAAGGTTGGAAGTTCAAACCTACCAACTGCTCCCTGGAAATTCTATGTTGTTGTTGTTACGTACCATTGAGTGAGATCCGACCCATTGCAACCTGTATAGGGTTTCTGAGGAGTGACTGGTGGGCTGGAACCACTCACCTTGCAGTTTCAAACCGACTTTGCAGTTCAGTGCTCTAACCCACAGAGCCACACCTGAACTCCTTGAAACCTTATACAGGATTGCTATTAGTTGAAACTAACGGAACAGCACTTAACAACAACAATCTCAAAATGATAAAAATTCTTACCTCATGCCTACCCCACACTGAATCTGCTTTTATTTTCTATTAGTTGTTTAATCTTGAATTATTTTCTAATCACATGTCTATTTTATAGATATGTCCCTCTTATCAGCTTCCATTTCCTCTCATAGTCTCTTGAACCTTAAACATTGTTTCATTAACATATCCAGATTTACAATCTTTCCAACTTTCTTTCATTCCATGCTCTTAAAAACAAAAACAGCAACAAAATTGTTGTGTATCTTATAGTGATAATCTATCATTTTCTTTCTTTCATCTTAATAATTTTGAGTTTTCTCTCTTTTATCTTTAACTTTTCAACAAATCTGTACATTCTTTATCCATTTCTACAGATTTAATTATGGAGTTTTGGTTTGACAATGTAGAACAAGCACTGGTCTGCTAACCATAGAGTCAGTAGTACAAACCAACCAGCTTCTCTTTGGAAATTCAATATAGGGTGGCTATCAGTCATAATTGACTTGATGGCATTTAAGGAAAACAAAAACATCACATTATTGATTTAGTCATCATATCTTTACCCTAGGCAAATAGTTTATTTCGTCTATCCCTTATTTGATTTGCTTACCAATGGACATATTTAACCAGCTTTCCCCTTTATTTATCTGTGCTATTTGTATATCTTAATCTCCTCAATCATTATGTTTTTGCAACTCTTTCTTCACATTTTCTGTCAAGAATGACAATAGTAGTAGTAGTAATAACAGCAACAGTAAAATAAATAACAATAGGTATAGCATTTGGAGCCACAGATATATAAATTATAAATAATTAACTTGATTGTACTTCTAATTTGTTTAGAAATAAAATTCTCCCAAATTTTGCTCAAATCTTTCAAAAATCTTTGAATCATGTCCTCTGCGACAAACTTGCCAAACAATTTGAATCTATGTTTTTCATGGACACACTGAGAAAACCTATGTACCATGCTCAGCTTATGAAATAACTCAAAACCACTTTATATTAGAGGGAAATCGAGCTGTTGCTTTGCTTTATCTGTCTTTTTTTCTTTACAAGTTCTTCAGATACTGTATCCTGTATAGAATTGTGCCTAATAGCATCAAATAAAGGTGTTGCACATATATGAAGGTAAAATTTTCTCCTTTTAAAAATAATATAACCACAATGTTTGTCCTGATCATGGATTTTATATTTTAAAAATAAAGCCTATGAGCCTTTGGTTTATGGACTAAAAAAATGTTTTGTTGGTAGTTCAAATTAAAGGAAAAAGTAGATTGATTGATGACATCCAGTATGTGCCTCTCATAATTAGTAAAGACCCATATACTGTAGATTTTCTTCAGCAATTATTGATTCATATGCTATTAACATTATTTATAATTTACCTATATTAAGCATTTGTATCTCTAATTTAAATAATTTAAATATATTACATTCCCACATTATACTGTCCTACACACTAGAATTTAATGATCCAAAATGTTTTCTCCTGATTCACAAAAATTCTTGAAAATTAGTCAAATTCTAGAAATGAAAAGAGTTTTTTTGTTTTTTGTTTTGTTTTGTTTTTTAAATGCAAGCAATACACAGCAGGTCTTCATAATTAACTATTAGTTCACCATCATAAAACAACATACTTATTAATTTTCCTAAAATTATTGTTTGTTTAATTTTGTAAGAATAGCTCTGTCATTGTCAACTGCTTTAGAATAGGTTCTGACACATAGCAACCCTGTATAAGGTTTCCAAGGCTATAATCTTTGCAGGAGCAGAAAGCCTCCTCATTCTCTCAAGGAGTGGCTGGTTGACTAGAACTTCCAATGCTGGTGTTCCCAGTGTAGTACTTATCCTACAGAACCTCCATAAATATGAAGGTTCCCTATCTTCATTTCTTGTATACGTAAACATTTCAGAGTTTCTGAAAATTAAATTATGGTTTCTACAGTAGCATTGCCACATAATGTTAGTCCTGGTGTGCTGCTGTAGGATATGCATCATACTGCTAACCACAAGTTTGGCGATTCAAACCCACTAGCCACTTTCTTGGAAATCCTACATATGGTTGCTATGCATTAGAACTGACTCATTGGCACTTAACATTAAGAGCATATTAAATTAGATTTTTAAAAAGGTTCAGATCGTATAGGTGAAAACATTTTATGTTTTAAACATACATTTCTTATAATTTTATGATTATCAAAATAAACTCTTGTAAACCTGACTTTCTACATGGTAAAATAACATAATTCCAAAACTAAATATTTTGGGATTTTAAAATCTGGTTTGTCTCTAGCCTCCAACATTTAGTTATCTTCAATGATCTTAATCACAAAACACAGTATTCATGTATATCTTAAATGTTTATGATATAGCAAGCTTTTAAAAATTAGCTGATTCTTCTATTAAGGAAATTCTTCAATTTATTGAAATTAATTTTCTGAGTAAGTAAATGTGCCTTCAAACACAATCTTTTAATCATTTAAAAATGTGCCATAAATTTTTGACTCCTTCAGCAAAGAAATATTCTCTAGAGTGTCATTGGTAAGATTGCATTTTTCTAAAGAGAAAAAATGAATGGTGCATAACATATTGTTTTGAGTCCTGGTGTGGCACTGCAGGGTAATGCACTGGACTCCAATGACAACCAAAAAGGACAACTCCTCTGAAAAGGTCTCAATGGCAATTAACAACAAAAACAACAATCTATTGTGCTGTGATATGAAAGATACATTTTCGTACCTTGTAGAACAAAGTACTAAAGTACTTTGTTGATTAATGATTTGATTGTATTATTCATGGATTTATTCATTTATGTATCCACTTGTTTAATCAATCAAGAAGTTATGACTGAGAGTCTAACATATATCAGTATTTCACTAGAGATTAACCCATTTCTGTTGAGTTGATTCCAACTTATAGAGACTGCATAGCACAGAGTATAACGGTCCACAGTGTTTCTAAGACTATAACCTTGATGGAGCAGACTAAAACATTTCTGTCCCAAAGAGTTGCTGGTGCGTTAGAATCACCTATCTTTTGGTTAGCATGCCAGCTTTTAAACACTGTGCCACCAGAACTCCTTTGAATGGAGATTATGACCAAGTTTTTAGTATGCTCTTTGAATTTTACATCTGTACACATAGTGTAGTACATTTTCATTAAAAAGTAATGAATTATTCTAATTGATGCTATATTCATATACTTTTTTCTTTCTATAATCTAATTTTGCTACTGGATGTGGTCTTTGACACCCACCCCATTAAACTTGCTGAGAGATTTGCATGTTGTTGTTGTTGTTAAGTGCCATTGAGTTGGTTCTGAGTCATAGCTGCATAGGGTTTCCAAGGAGCAGCTGGTAAATTTGAACCACCAACGTTAGGGTTCAAACCAACCTTGTGGTTCAGTGCTTTATCCTGCAGTAGGTTTGTCTTGGGTCATTGCATGAGTTGGCTTTTTTTTTTTTTTTTGAATTCTCAATTAGTAGTGCCTATACACAGATTTTTAAATTTTTTGTATTATGTTCCAATACATGTGTTCTTAAACAAGTTAGGAAGAAAGTTCAAAGTTGGGGAGGGGGGAGATCAATAGGGAATAAAGAAAATGGATCAAAGTAATATAAAAGTCAAAAATACTCACTATATTCTATCCTAGATAAAGGAGTACTATCTTTAATTGTTGTTTCTCCAGAATAGGTGATCAAATTTAGCTTATTCAAATGTGCAAAGTACTGCTAAAACCTCCTCAGTGCTTACTAATATATAGACTGAAGTGGGACTACTACAGTGCAAACATGGCCATAGGGTTTTTGGCATGCTTGCTTTTTTTTTTTTTTTTTTTT